TGACAATGAAATAACTTTACAAACCTGCTAGAGTGGCTAAAATTTTTAAAATGGAACATATCAAGTATTGGTGAGATATGGAGCAGCTGGAACTCTCACACACCATGATGAGAGCATAAACTCTCACCACACCACTTTGGAAAATGCCAGACATTAGTGTGTACTAAAACTGAACAAGTACATACCCAGAAATTTTATCCTGAGGATGTACCCAGCAAAAATGCACACATACAGTTACTGTGTTCATTCATAGCAGCACTAACACCAATATTCCTAGCAGCATTATTTGAGATAATTGCAAACTGAAAACTATTCAGGTGCCCATCAACAGTTGAATGATGAATGTAAAAATACCCATTTACTTGTACATTTACACACACAGACACACACACGTATAATTTTTCAAAAAATCCAGTGGTGTAGTCACATAATGGAACACAATATAGACTACAGCGTGATGAAAACCTATACACAACAATATAGATAAATCTTTCCCACCTAATTGAAATATAAGCCAATCATAAAAATAATAACTGCATGATTCTATTTGTATGAAGTCCAGAAATAGATTAAATTAGACCATGTGGTTTTTTAGAACTTAGATAAGGGTTACTTCTGGAGAGGCAGGTAGTAACTAGAAGAAAGCACTGTTGCTGTGTTCTATTTCTTGTTGCTAACCTTCTGTTTCTTGATCTGGTCACTGGTTACAAAAATGGAAAGTATAAAAATTCATCCAGCTGTGTCTCTGAGGTACAAGGTAAACTACAGGTAATGTAAGAAAACATGGAAAATGTCAGAAAGAACCAAGAGAAAATACTAGAATTCAAAAACACTGTAACAGAAATAAAGAATGCCTTTGATGGGCTCAGCAATAGACTGGAACTGGTGACACTGAGGAAATGTCAACAGAAACTCCCAAAATTGAATTCCAAGGAGAAAAAAGTATAAAAAGAACAGAATATCTAAGAACTGTGAGACAATTAATAAAAATTTAACATATGTATAAAGACAATATTGAAGATGAAAGAGAAAAAGGAACAAGAAGAAATGTTTGAAGCAATAGTGACTAAGGATTTCCCAAAATCAATGATAGATAATAAAGCACAGATCCAGAAAGCTCAGAGAACACCAAGTAGGATAAAGACCACAGATTTTATATATATAAGTATATCATATTCAAAGTATACAAAATCAAAGATAAAGAAAAATCTTTAAAGAACCAATAGAGGACCAAGGTTAAGAATTATGCCAGACTTATCTTCAGAAATCATGCAAGCAAGAAGAGAGTGGAGCAAAATATTAGAATGATAAAATAAAAATTCATCAGTTTGTGATGGTTAATTTTATATGTCAACCTGAATGGGCTAAGAGAGACCCAGAAAGCTGGTAAGACATTATTTCTGGTGTATCTGTGAGGGTGTTTCTAGAAGGGATTAGCACTTTAATCAGTAGACTGAGGAGAGAAGATCCACTCTCATGGATGCGGGTGGGCATTATCCAACCCACTGAAGGCCCAAAAGCAACAAAAAGTGCAGGAGGAGTGAATTTACTCTGTCTCTTCTTGAGCTGGCACATCCATGTTCTCTTGTCCTCCAACCTCGAAGCTTCTCAGTCTCAGGCCTTCAGACTCCAGGACATAAGCTAGCCACACTCCTTCCCCCTGTTTCCAAGCCTTTGACTTGTCATAAACTACTCCACTGTCTTCTCTCGCTCTCCAGCCTGCTGATGGTGCGAGGGGAAACCTCCTGGCCTCCATCATGAAATGATCCAGTCTCTAGTGTCTGTCTGTCCATCCAGCCATCCTATTGGTTTTGTTTCTCTGTAGAAACTTGACTAACACACTAACCTAGATTTCTGTACCCAGTGGAATTATCCTTTAAAAGTGAAGGAAAAATAAAGACTTTCTCAGACAAATAAGAATTGAGGGATTTTGCTGCCAGTTAGACCTGCCTTGCAAGAAATGTTGAAAGAAATTCTTCAGAGAGAGGGAAATAATATAGGTCAGAAATTTAGATCTACATTAAGAAAGGAATAACTTTAGAAATTTAAAAATTTTTTAAATAAAATTTTTACTTCTCGTTCTTAATTGCTCTAACACATAACAGCTTGTTCAAAATAAAAATAACATTATATTCAATAATTATAGCTTACAGATCAATAAAATGAATGACAGCAATGTTACAAGGGATGGACAGGGGAGGAACTGGAAAGACTTTGTCATGAGATCCTTGCATTACCTGTGTGGTGCTATAGTGTCATTGAGGGCGGACTTTGATGATTTATTTATTTATTTATTTATTTTTTGAGTTGGAGTCCCACTCTGTTGCCCAGACTGGAGTGCAGTGGCCGCTCCCGGCCACTGCAGCCTCGACCTGCTGGGCTCCGGTGATCCTTCCACCTCAGCCTTCCAAGCAGCTGGAACTACAGGCACGTGCTACTACGCCCGGCTAAATTTTTGATTGATTGCAGAGATGAGGTCTCGCCAAGTTGCCCAGGCAGGTCTTGAACCCGTGGGCTCAGGCAATCCACTCACCTCAGCCTCCCAAAGCACGGGATTATTGGCTGAGCCACCGAGCCTGGCGACTTTGATTATTAATAGTTGTAAATAATACTACCACTACAAAGAGTAAAAACAGAAGTACAACATAAGCAAGAGAGGAGGAAAAAAAAAGAAATCATACAACATACCAAATTAAAACAAAGGAAGGCAGAAAAGCACAATTCATAAAAGAAAAAAAACTTTAGCTAGACTTAATTAAAAACTTCTGCTCTGCAAAAGACACTCTGAAGAGAATGAGAAGCCAGACCACAGGCTGGGAGGAAATCTTTGCCAAATACCTACCAGATAAAGGACTACCATCCAAAATATACAAAGAGGTCCAAAATTCAAGAAGAAGAAAACACACAGCCCCATCAAGAGTGGGCAAGCAATCTGAACACACACCTCCCCAAAGAATAGGCACACATGGTAGTGAGCACATAAAACGATGTTCAGCACCACAGTCACTAGGAAACTATAGATTCATATGACGATGTGTCACCACACACCTATCAGAACAGCCAAAATCCAGAACGCCAACAACATCAACCTGGGTGAGGACATGCAGCCACAGGCGCTCTTGTCCACTGCTGGTGGAAATGCAAGACGGTGGCCACTGTGGAAGACAGTCTGGCAGCTTCTTCTAGTGAAATGTACTTTTAGATCACCCAGCAACCACATCCCTCCCCTCAGAATTTAAGCAAATGCATTGAAAACTTACACTCACACAAAACTTCCACACAGATGTTTATAGCAATTTTATTCATAATTGCCCATACTTGAATAATTAGATTTCCTTCAGTAGGAGAATGGATAAGCAAACTGTGGCACACCTATAAAACGAATACTGGTCAAGATAAAAAGAAACGAGCTATAATGCCACACGAAGGCATAAAGAGATCTTATATTCACATTGCTAAGCAAAATGAACCCATCTGGAAAGGGTACATACTGCATGATTCCAACTCTCTGACATTCTGGAAAAGGCAAAAGTGGGAGGACAGCAGAAAGGTCAGTGGGTGCCAGAGGCTCGGGGAGCCGAGGGAGGGCAGGCAGGGCATCTCCCAGGCAATGGGATTGTTCTTCTGCATGGTCCTGTGGTGGTGGATACCTTCCTTGTACACTTGTCAAAACCCATAGAGTGCCACACAGAGAGAGCTGTGATACTAGCTGCAGGCTCTAGTTATTAATAATGTGGCAATACTGGCTCATAAGTTATAACGAATGCACCACACTAACGCAAGGTATTCACCATAGGGACAACTAGGGGAGGTAAGGGGACATGCTGGAGCTCTGGGTACCTTTTGCTCAATTTTTTTCTGTAAACCTAAAACTGAATAAAGTATATTAATTTTAAAAAGGAACATATGTATATGTATACACATGCAGAGTTTTCTTATATTTATATAAATAGCTTTTATATTTGTTTCTGAGATAATGTGAAAAATAAGGAAGAAAAACATAAATACGAAGGAGTCAGGTTAAAATACATGTGAATGTTAAAGTGTCATGGTTTTTGAGAAAGCTTAACACTAAAAATTTTCATACTAGTATGCTGGTGAAAATACAGCACTCAAGTGTATGAACACAGCTAACTTTGTGAGCAGTAAAGAGAGAGAGAGAAGAGCCCACAGGTCTGTGACAAACTCAAAGTCAAATGCTGCCTATTCCTTCTTTTATTCTCCTTCTGGTCTTTGCTTCTTTCAAATGCTTTTGTTTTACTTCATTTTTACCGTTTATTCAGTCACTTGGACAGGCAAAAAACAATAAGAATAGGCCTAATTTTAATGTGACAAAGTATTACCACCATCACTCTCCTACTTCACATGGCTCTAAAGTGACAGGTGAAAATGTTTCACATGGAAATGAGTAGCTTCATCAAATTAGGCCACACATTCATGGTTGAGTAAATGACTTAAACTGTACAAAGGTAAATACTGAGTGGTAAAGTTGAGAGACCTTACTTTTGACAAAACAAGCAGAGAACAATCAGAGATAACACAATGTATGTGAACACACGTGGGAAAAGCATTTTCTGTGAACTGAAGAAAATGTTAAGAACAATTACAACATACTCTGTGCAGACAGGAACCTTATCTGATTGTCATGTTTGTAGAGTATGTCTCACAAAAGGAACAATATGTCTTTACCTAGTAAATAAATGACTGGCTCATGGTTTTCTTCTAAGAAGGGATAAGAACCTATAAATTAAAAGATATTTTAACCCAAGTTAGCAATGCCCCAAATTTGACTCACATCAATTTCTTCAAGCTAAAGTTTTGAACTCAAGGCACATGTGCAAGGGAAATGAGGTGAGGCCGGGTGGGAACAGGGTTTACTCAGTTCAAGTAATTGCTGTTTAGTTTTTAGAAATGGCTAAATTTCATGTAAGAATGGATTAGCTAAACAGAAGTTTTTCCTCCCTCTGTTTTTAGTACAGCTTAGAAAATGACCCCTTTACCTTATGAAATCTTCTTCGTCTTCTCTCTTTGGCCTCAATTGTTTGGGTTGAGCCATATTAATCCAGTTTGGTAGAGATTTCAAGAGTCTGCTGATGTCATCATCTTTTGCCCAAGATGCACTGATGACAAGTTTTTCTTCTGACTGGACAATGCCCCTAAATGCAGCCAAAAAAAGGGACACTTTAGTGTAATACCTGGTATTCAGGTGGCATTTTCACCTACCCATGCTAAAGAAAAAACAGATCACACCCACCTCTCTTATGAATATAACCCGTTATCTGAGTGGGAGGTGTGGGAACCATGGATAGCCACACTGCTGGGAAACAGCATTTCTAGACTTCATTCTTAATTGTTGAGTAACTGTAAAAGCTGATAATACTAATTAGTTCCTCCTAATCCCTTCAGATAAATAAAAGTGTATAGTATGTTTTGGGGGGATCTTTCAAGAAAGTGTTGATGATATAAAAAGTTGGGAAACCACATAAAAGAATGGACAGCATAAGCAGTACCTAAAAGGCAACAGAAGTGTTACAAGGTTGTTCCTTGACTTCTTGGTCCAAACTACCAATTAGTTCTACTTGAAGGTATTTTTTGAACTCCAGATACTCGTCTGATCAAAGTCAATTTACCATCATAAAGAAAACCTCTGCCCCAGATGTCAGGCAGAAAAAGCCTCTAATTACTGCTATCTCCAGTGGGCTTTGACTAGTGACCTAGAGTTGACAGGTTTCAAGTCTTTTAACAGGGCCTATGGGCTAGCTTCTAACACTGCTCTGATCAGAATGTACCTGTAAATTCATCTTAAGTGTTCAATTTCAACATAATTAAAAAGCTTCTCTCTCTATTCAGCATTTCTGTCACTATAACTGATTTTAATGATCTCAAATCCTTGTCAGCAACACTAGGTAACAAAAATGATAATTATTTATAAGGGAGTAACTAATTAGTTGGCTGCCCTCTGAAGTTGACCAAGACTTCTGGAGGTTTCCCCCAACATACGTAGGGGTAACTTTTGGTATAAGGGTAATACAGGTGACATTAAACAATAGATATGGCATGCATGCTTCTGTGATAAAACCTCCTTGACCCATCAGATGACTCATGTCTGTAGACAAAATAAATTGAAGCCTACACACCTTGACTCATGACAGCCTGACTCAAGATAACATGCTTCCTGTTGTAGGGAGTAATGTTGCGCTAGTTCTTATAAGATAAACTAGAGTAAGAAAGAGAGCTATGGGTGATTTCTAGAATTCTCCTAATTCATGATAAGCAAAAGTTCTCTAGTAGATACGATCAGAGATACCAAAATGAGATGACAGAACCTTCCCTCTGCCCATCTCTCCAGTGACTCTCACTGGTGCCTTCTATTCTCTCCTTCTCCCATGTTATGTCCTTGCGTCTTTTAATGTTTATGAATTCATCCAACAATCCAACTTTTACAAGCTTGTGCATGCAATCTCCTGGAACAGGCCCACCTCAGCTTCCTGTCTGGCAGAGGAAGGAGGGCCCTGATTACACACTGTCATATAGCCCACCTCTCACCCCAGCAGCAGCATGGCACATCTGTCTTACCCCTACTCGTCTCCATCAACCCCCCACTCAGAATCTCATGGATACTGTTCCCTAGTTACCTCCCCTCGTTCCTGTATTTTTAGTGTCTTCTCTCCACAATATATCCCCCAAATCTCCACAGTTTTTAAAAAAATGAATGAATGAACAAATATCTTCCTTGATCCATCATTCCTCTGTAACACAACTCCTCTCTCTCCTTCGAAAGCACCCATCCAGTGAGCAGCCTGCACTGAGTAACTTCACGAACTCACTTCTCATTCACTTATTCCACTCACAAAACCTTTCTCCAAGATCTACTCTATGATTTGACTTGTCTACTGCTTTTATTTTTTTGAATAGTAGTCTTACTCTGTCACCTAGGTTGTAGTGCAGTGGCACGATCACAGCCCACCACAGGCTCAATCTGCTGGGCTCAGGCAATCCTTCTGCCTCAGCCTCCAGAGTAGCTGGGACTACAGGTATGCACCACCACCCCTGGCTAAAGTTTTGATTTTTTTGTAGAGATAATGTCTCACTATGTTGCCTAGGCTGGTCCTGAACTCCTGGACTCCAGTAATCCTCCTTCCTCAGCCTCCCAAAGTGTTGGGGTTGCAGGAATGAGCCACCACATCTGGTCTTATATACTGCTTTTTGGAAATTTTCAGTTATTATATTTTTCATTCCAAAATTTTCTGTTTGGCTTTTTTGCAAATTCACTGGCTTTCCCCCCACAATACATTGTTCTGGAATCTGTTCTTTCATCTCCTTGAATATTGAACATGACTTTAAAGTTCCTTTTATGTAGCTTTATACTCCTTGTAGCTATTTGGATGTCACGTGTCCTGTTTGTTGCATTTGAATTCTTTTCTAATGACGATGCATTTCTTCATAGGGTCTGCCATTTGGGTCTGGAAGCTCCACTTGGATGGGACTTGTCCTCTACAGAAACCCCACATTCACCCAGTCTTCTATGAATTTCATTGGTTCCAAACATGTTTTTCGTTTTCGTTTTTTTCAGCTTAAAGCTTCTTCTTCTGACACAGGCAGTGCAAATGAAGGCCCTTACTTGCATATATCACGTGTGTGGGAGTCTGATTTCTTTTAGGGGCTGCTTTTCTGCTCCACGTTGCGTGGCTCATTCTTAAACCCAGATTTTTCTTCTCCATTCATGGATGAAATAGGCTCTTGAATGACTTCTGCACAGACAAAGCTTTCTCCCTGCCTGGCAGGTGCCACAGTGCTGGCCCCTACTTGACCTCTAGGTGTGGTCCTGATGCCTTTGTGGGTCACTCAGCTCTACCTTTACTCGTTTCTATGGTTTTTAATTCTGCCTTCATTCATGGCATCTGGAGAATTCTCTTTCATCCTTTTGAGTTTGGTAACATATTTAAAATATTTTTAAAGTTATAGATTTTTACCTAGAATTTTTATATGCCAGGAGCAAGAAAAAAGCTCCCTAAATTTAAATACTCCATACTTTTGACAGGAAGTTAAAATCCAGACTCCAACCAGTTGCAATCAGGTTTCTAGAACCACCATTCCAGGGAATTGCTCCACCAACCCATGGACACGTTTTAGTCTTCATACTCTGACCATCTCCTCTTCTTAAAGCATTACTCCTCTACTTTCCATAGCATTTTCTCCTGGCTCTACTCCTGCCATCCTGACTTTTCCTAGCCAACCCTGGTGGCTCTTTTTCTCTGTCCATACTGCCCATGTAGTGTTCCACAGGATTCCGCATTCCTCATTTGAGCAATCTCATCTTCTTGCCAGACTTGACTCACCTGCATTCCAATGACTGTTATTTCCAGGGCAGCCCTCTCTTGGACCGTCACACACAAAGGATTACTGGAGAGCTCTACTTGAAAGTTCAAGTTAAAATGAATCGAAAGAAACTCATTGTCCAACCCTCCCTCCCCCCTATTAAACATCTAGTGTTCCCTATTCAAGCCATACCATTATTCAAGTCAGGAACACACAGGGTCACCCTCATCAACTACAGTCACCACATCCTGCCAATTCTACATCCTTAATAAATCAGTCATTTCCTCTCCAGGTTCACTGCTGTTAACCTATACTTAAACTCTCATCATTTTTCACTTGGACTTGGAATAACCTTGCAACTGGGGGTTCTTGCTTTCAGGTACAAGACCATCAGTCCAGCTCACCACACCAGTTAGAAGAGTCTTTTTCTAACCTACAGACACGATCATGTTATTCCCCTTCTTAGAACTCTTCAGTGACTCCTAATTCCCGGTAAGACCAAGACCAGACTCAGTGAGGTGTGGACACCTGTCTTTGCAGCTTCCATTCCGGCTGTTACTTTCCTGCTATGTCTCTGGTCGCGACTCCTAGTTGAGCCCCAGTCTGTGATGGCTGAACACACCATCCATGATGAGTGTCCTAGGGTTTTCGAGAGGGAATACAGTGTCTCCTGCCTCAGCGTGTCCTCTCGGCCCAGGACGCCTTTTCCCACCCTTCTTGTTTGCTTCTGCTCACCAAGCATGGCACCCTGCTCCTTGGTATAACGAAGGCCTCTCTTTTGTGCCACATTTCCTTATGCAACAGGTCAACTTTGACTGCACGTTAGATTCACCTAGGGGAGATATTTTACAAGCCAGATGTCCAGGCCATACCCAAGACCAAGTACATCAGAATTTGTGGGAGGTGAGAGACAGGAAGCATCATTTTCTGAAGTTTCCACATGACTCGAACGTGTGCTCAAGGGCGACTCCCCTGCTTTGCCCACCTCTCCTCTCATGGGTCCTAGGCACATCTCTATGTGATGGGATTGCACAATGGACAGTGAGCTCTCTGAGGGGACCTGCTTCTTATTAGTTTTGTGTCCCCCATGTCTAGCATAACATCTGGTATTTGGAAGGTGTATGATAACTGAACTGGAGATAAAAACAAACCCTCTTCAGTCTTAAGAGTACAGACAACTTGTTAAATGAAGACCACTTTAGTAGTTTCCCTTTTCTTCTCTATACTAAACAACTTAGATGAGCTATCAAGTCACTTGTCATTTAGCTAAACAAAGATCTTTCCAGGCCATATCCTTCACTATGCCCCCTGAATTCAATACAAATCAGAATAATGAATACAGGTGTGTCCCCTCTGGAAAAAAATTCTAAAAAAAAGCATTAAAAAATTCTGACTCACAAGACAAACTAGGGCATGATTACTGGCAAATCTTCCCCTTTCATCCCACCTATTCCTAGGTGGCCTATTACTTGACAGTTGCCCCCAAAACTTTATCTGTGAAAAATCTGTTCATATGTCAGTCAACAATGATTTTCCCCTTGGAAACAAAATAAACAAAGCTCCTTCTTTTATACTCATCATCTACAGTCTCACAATTAGCATACAGTCTTCCATAGCAGTATGGACCACCTATGACCTGGGGGCCAAATCTGCCCATCAACTGTCTTTGAATGTCCTCTAAGCGAACAATGGTGTTGACATTATTTAATGTTTTTAAAAAACTAAAAACAGGCCGGGCTCAGTGGCTCAGCGGCTCAGCCTGTAATCCCAGCACTTTGGGAGGCCACGCTGAGTGGATTGTCTGAGCCAACGGGTTCCAGACCAGCCTGGGGAACTT